TCTCTCTCTCTCTGTTTCTCTCTGTCTTTCTTTCGCCAGGGCTGTGGTGAGGGGCCACACTCTCTATGTCTCTCTCTGTTTCTCTCCTCTCTCTATCTTCTTTCACTCTCTCTCTCTCTCTCTCTCCCTCTCTCTCTCTCTGTCGCTCTATTGTTTTTTTTATCCTTATCATGTAGTGAAGGCTTGCCCCACTCGGCGAACCTAAGCCTTCCAAAAGATATGCCTTGTTCTGGCATTTCTGGCCACACATGACTGTCCAGGCACAAGATGGCTGATCCCGCGCTTCTGGGCTTAGGGTTTAGGGTTTAGGGTCTCTCTGATCGTCCACCCGGCGGCCTTTCCGCACAAATCCTACACACTGTGGAATCCGAATTCCTCACATGTCCTGAAATCTTTTAGGTTCTTCTTCTAGGAAATCCAAGAAACCACGGCAGTGACTTCGTCCGTGTAGGTTACCTCAGCATGAGCTACTCGAAAATAGACGGGATCGATCTCATTCGATATCCCCAAGCCTCCTAGGCCTGATCCTTCGTCGAAGGTTGCCCACACGTCTCTGGCAATCTCCGGTCGCAACACCAACCCGAAACCCCAAAGCCCCATATCAACTCCCTGCACGCACACTCACACACACACACAACCAAACTTTCAACCCTGCTAGAGGTATCAACGTTCCTGCTCCCTTGTGGTATCATTTCGTGTAAACATCAACTCTACACTGAACTTAGACCCCGAGCAAAAATTATAATTTTAGCTGCTTCTTAGGGTTTATAGTAGCCAAAGATTGAAAAATCATTTCTAAGTACCTGTAAGCTCTGTCGCAGCTCACTTGGGAGCCGGACGCTCGACCGCGACTTTTGCATCACCTGCCCCTTCGCACTGCCAGGCCGCCGGCCACATCAGCATCTTACAGATCCGGTAGATAGATCCCATGCCGCCTGTTTAGGGTTTAGGGTTTCGGGTTTAGGGTTTAGGGGTTTAGGGTTTAGGGTTTAAGGTTTAGGGTTTAGGGTTCAGGGTCCACTCTGGGCTCCATGGTTGGGATGGCTAAGGTTGAGAACTCCAGAGACGGAAAACCATGACAGGCTTTACTGCGGAACTTGGCTTGTGCGTTGTAGGAGCCAAAACATACGGGAGTTTCCGAGAACAAGGGGTACCTTATTTGGGGGTCCTTATAACAAGGATCCTACTATTTAGGGTGCTATATTAGGGTTCCCTATTCTCGGAAACCCCTATACAAACCCGAGACCCTGAACCGAAACGAGCACGGGACCGAGGACTCTGCCCGCGCACCATCAGGTTGACTCCACAGCTCGAACCCTCGACCCTGAGCCCTAAATCCTACACCCCCAAAATCTAAACGTCGAACCCTTTAAGCCTAAAATCCCTGAAGCCCCAAGCATCCACCTATAGCCTAGAAGTTTTGAAACCGTGCACCCGGAAAGATCTGGAATCCAACAGTGTCGGAAGCCCTAAGCCCTACTTAAAAGACCAGTGGGCGTAGTAAGTAGGTTAGAAGCAAGGTTGCAAGTGGGATAACTCCGCCAATACTGGTACAGACGCCCACAAATTACCCACCCCCTTTGAGCCTTTCAGCAAACCCCAAGACGCCCTCTAAACCCTGACCCTGATCTTTACTTGGAGGTTCATGGGTAGTTATAAGTGGGGTTATAAGTAAGGTAACTATAGTTATAACCCATATTAGGGGACTTATAACCATACTTATAACTACCCCTAAACCCTATAGAACCCTTTTAAAGGAACCCTTAAAGGAACCCCATAACCCATACTTATAACTACCCATGAACCTCCAAGTAAGCACACCCGAAGACCCCGAGCCTGTGCGCTTCGGAACCTCCTCCTCGACTTCAGCCGGTCTGGGGCCACACAAAAGACGCTTCACCTTCCCGGGCTTCCCAACAAGCCGAGAATGCCTCTTTCAGGAATCACGAGTCACGATAGGAATGCCTCTGTACCCTAAAACCCTAGTCTACGTTAAAGTGTCTTTATTAGTCATGAGGTTGTTGCGCTGTCGAAAGCCCCTTGCTTGAAAGTTTGTCAGATTCATAAATTTAAGGTTTTAAGAACCCCTGTTGAAGCCCAATCCCTCGGGCTTTTATGCCGCGAAGCCGGCCCTTCAACCTCGAAGCAGGCGCCTGCTCCAGACACCAGTCGGCCAGGATCCCGACCGGATATCCTTGAAAGGGTTTAGGGTTTAGGGTTTAGGGAAAGTCACTGGGGTTTCGGCTCTGGGACGGTGCAGTACGAGTAGGGTTTGCGACTTCGGGCCTAGGGACTTTCCTAAATGGGGGTTTCCAAAGATGGGAGACCCTAATATAGTACCCCAAATAGTAGGACCTTATATTATAAGGACACCAAATACGGTACCCAGTATTTTCGGAAACTCCCATATAAGTTTTCCGTAGGGCTGGGAAGCTACGGTTCGCTCCATTGGTCTGGAGCTTCGGGCTTGGGTTCAAGAGTCGGCCCCGCAGGGGACACGATCCGTGGCCCTTCTACAAACTACGCACTCCCCAGCACAGGATGTGTTGGGGTTTAGGGCTTCAGAACCTTTGAACCTCGAAACTAGCGCGGCTCAGCTTGCCAGCTTGCGCAAAAGGCCTCCTAAAACCCGCAACGCCTGCCAGGATGGACACGATGGGGCCACAGATAATGAGGAGACGACTCATCTTCCTGGGCGCAGGGCAGTCGGTTTAGGGTTTAGGGTTTAGGGTGGTGGAGTCTTGAAGATGTTGGTGTACGAGTAGTGTTTAGCGTTCAGGAGGGGTGCAAGGCTTGGTTGGGAGCCTGCAGGAATAGGGTTTAGGGTTTAGGGTTTAGAGTTTACATTAGAATTACCAGTATACCCCGTATGGAATTTCTGCAAGCTCATTACGATACCCTGGGCACCTGCTGGAGTACAAACCTTAGTCTCGACCGTATCTAACCCAACACCTCGCATGCCCGACTCGATCCAAACCACCGAGGTGCAGCGAGAAGTGGTAGGCTACTGCTGCAAACCTGGGCCGATTCCCGGGCAGGCTTTAAGCATTTGGTCGCGGCGAGTTCGTCTGCAACCCTACCACAAAAGTGGTACCCTTCTCGCGGCACCATATTGGGTTTGAGCTTTGGTGTTTAGTTACGGGTTTTGGGATTTAGGGGGTTAGGACGGGTTTAGAAGTTTGAGGGTTTTTTCCCCACCCGCTTCGCTGACTGGGTCGCGCTGCGGGGAAGCTGCGCTCGAAGGACGTGTGTGCAAGTTCAGCGCCCAAACAACCTCCCGTTCATCAAGACCCTAAACCTTGAACCCCAAACCCAACGCAGAACTCTCAAAGGAATCCAGGTTTGCGACGAAGGGGGTTTAGGGGTTAGGGTTTAGGGTTTTTTCCCTCTCGCATGGCAGAGAGGGTTTAGGGTTTAGGGTTTAGGGGCTTGGTGGACCAAGACGTCGTGCTTGGCACAGACGCTGCACCTGAGACCCGCAGCCACGAGCAACCCAAGATTGGTCTTCGGGATGCTGCTCTAATATAGGGGCCTTAATAATGAGAATAAGGTTTTGGGGGCCCATTATACTACAATTGATGTTGCTCTAATATAGTGGCCTTAATAATTAGAATAGGGTTTTGGGGGGCCATTATACTACAATTATAATAAGGAGCCCCCAAAATAGTATAGGTAACTATTTTGGCCTCTACAGTAGGTAGCCATGGCCTGATATTGACATGGTCCAAAACGACGTCACTCGTAAGCGGTTCGAAAGGTAAGAGACCCCTGTCGACATAGACCCTAAATAGTAGCACCCTCAGAGCAACGCTGATAACGGCCGAGACTATCAGAACAAGGCTAAGGACATAGCATGCTGCGACCCTACATGGAGCAGAGCAGGAAGAAATGGAGTGCTTCTGATTGCTTGAGAATCCTGCGAATCCTACGGTATGCCTCGGGGGTCGGGAAGAGTGTTGGAAGTTCTGAAAAGTGTATGCATCACAGCAACAAAACGGGGAAGATCTTGGCCGGCGTCCGCTGGTGCCAGCAGAAGAAGAGGCCGACGAAGGCAAAGTACCTCAGAAATTCTTGGGGGATTTTGGCTTTGGGCCTTCTGGTGTTGGGATCTGTGAGCGTCAGGTTCAGGGTTTAGAGTTTTGGGGTTTAGGGCTCTTCATCAAATTCCTTTGTTCTCCTACAAACAAGCCTCGAGCAGGCTAAGCGGCCCGCCTCGGAGTGCCCAGGTACATGTCGTAGGCCTGATCGCTGGCAGCCTTGTGCGGATCCCGGATGTCTGTGCAAGAAGTCCACAAATTCTAAGCCGCAAAACCGAAGCCCGTAAACCCCCGAGTCCTAAACCTCGAACTCTCAGCACCAAATCCTTCAACGGGCTCACGATGTCGTGTACCAGGCAGCTTGACTCGGGATTTGCGTTTCAGCTGGAGGGCCGAAGGGGTTTACCTCGGTCCTCCGTTGGTAAAACAGGATCTAACAATAGGTTTTAGGATTTTCCCGGTTTCAGGGTTTGGGCTTTGGGGTTTAGGGCTTAGACCCAAGAATACTAGCAGTTACTAGCAATAGTAGCTTTGCCCGACACGCACATGCCGCTGCACCCCTTTCTGGAGGGGCTGCAGTGCTCACAGCACATGCCCTCATGCCCAGCCGAATCCCTGAAGCAAAGAAAAGTGTGCAGCTCGGGCAGAGGCCTGATGTTCCGCCACTGAATCCACCAGCGGGTTCCTGAACATGTTGGGGGATGTATTATGATACAGTTCATTCTATTACAACAGCATGTAGTATAGTAGAACTGATAATTCATATGGTTGTTGTTCTTATTGTTGTTATGGGGGTTCGAGGCTTCTAGATGCTAGAAACACGCCATGCAGCCATCATGCAGTGCCTCTAACTTCACCGGCGCATCAATGCGAGACCGTAAGCCCGGATCCCAATGAAAGAAGCATGATACTTCAGGGCAGGGCCGGCACGCTAAAGTTGAGACAGTCTTAAGGCCGTTCAGGCTCAACGCCTGAGCCGAGAATCGAAACCTTCGACCAAAAGGTTCATGGCAAAGGCTAATATAGGGGTTTAGGGTTTAGGGTTTAGGGTTTAGGGTTTAGGGTTTAATAATTAGAATAGGGTTTTGGTGCCCATTATACTATAACTGTAATAAGGAGACCCCAAAATAGTATTGGTAATTATTTAGGCCCCTACATTACATTACACCCTGAGAACCCCGAAGGCCCTCCATGCACCATAAGCCAGACCAAGGATCCCTCTGCAACTTCAGGGTAGACCTCAAACTATCACAACCTACCTTTTTTGTAGGCTCTTAGAATAAACTCTGGTATCGGATTTATAGGGACCCTACAAAAAAGGTGGGAGGTTCTGCAGTCTCTTCGTCCGAGCGACCCGGTCTTCCGGTGTTTCAGGAAGAGGCCGCGGATCCGGGCGGACCACGGTGAGAAGTAGTTTAACCTCGGTTCAGAGGAAGGCTAGACCCTCAACCGGACTCAAGGTCTAAACCGATAAACTTTCATCCGATTGAAGGGGTTCAAAGATGTTTGGTATTTGTCAGGATTGCAGCCTAGGCTTTTAGGGTTTAGGGCTTCAGGAAGTTATATGGAGGCACGAAGAAACCGAAAACACCATCGAGCTGGTCCACACAGTTCAAACCTCAACCCCCGACACACACACAAGGCCAAAGCCACGCCAAAGCAAAAAAGCAAGGGTGAATCCTAAGCTCCAACACGTGTAACTCTAGTAACAAACACTAGTAGACTCAGTAGACCCTAAACTCCCAGCATGGAACACTAGTAAATCCCAAACCCTAAACCCCACAAAGTAAGCCCGCAACCCTTACCCCTAAACCCAAGGTGGAGCACCCTAAACCCTAAACCCCAACATGGCGGTATCACAAGGGGCTGCATCAGCGCCCAGCAGACCCCGGCCGCCACCTCAGCGAACAGCGAGGCACATGGAGTTTGGGCTTGGGGCTTTTTTTCCCCTCTCGCATAAAGGAGGATTATACTCACGGCGAGGTGCAATATGAGACAAAATAAAGGGCTTGGGGCTTAGGGTTCAGGGTTTAGGCTTAGGCATGAGGCTTTAGGCTTTAGTTTAGGCTCTTGAGTTTTGGGCGTTGTCAAGTCAGCATCTACGATTTAGGGCTTGAGGGCTTAAGGAAAACCTCTTTGGGAGGGTTACCCGGTCTCACGGCCTTTGTGCAGTTTCACCAGTGCCCTGGCCTTGAAAGCTCTACAGCCTAAACCACGCAAACCCCAAAGCAACAAAATTCCATGAAAGGGTTTGGGTTTTAGGGTTTAGGGTTTAGGGTTTAGGGTTTAGGGTGTAGGGCCTAGGCTTTCGGCTAAACCCTGCACCCCCCAAGCAAAGATCCTACAGCTTCGAGATCCCGCCGAGCAGTGCATGCTGCAGCGCTGCATTTGGAGGCGCATGGGTAGGTAGAAGTGGGGATAAGTACAGTAGGGTAACTATCATTACAACCCATCTTAGGGGACTTCTAACCATACCTTTAACTACGCATGAACCTCCAAGTGGTGCTTTCAGGGCGTCTGGGCTTTGGAGTATTGGGGTTTAGGGCTCCTCAACCCTAAACCCTAAACCTCCAGGGTAAATTTGGGTTCTGGGACTTAGAACTTCTCCGCCGAAGCACCACTCCAATAGACACGAAGACGGCCACCCGGAGAAGGCAGAATCTGTCGGCCGGAGCAGAGATTTTTTAAGGCTTGGGGCCTAAGCCTGAGCTTGAGGCCAGGGTTTCAGCACTCACAACTGGGACAAGCCTGGCGAGGTTCCAAGTACGACGACGATAGCACATTGGCCAAAGGCTGCCAGGGTTTAGGGTTTGGGATTTCGGGGTTTGGCGGTTTAGGGGTCTAGGGTTCAGCCATTTCACGTGCCCAACAACCTCAACATCCAGCGCTATCTTTCTATCCTTGGCATCCAGCTTGTCAATGTGCAGTGAAGTGGCGCACCTTGAAACTCGAACCCCCCGTGTCCTGAGCCCCGAGCCCGCAGAAGAGAACCTGCTAGGACCCAAAGTCCGAATCCAAGAGGCCCGACCACGGTTCAGGGTTTAGGGTTCAGGGCTTAGGGCTTTGGGTTAAAGTTAGGGTTTCGGGTTTTTTTGCCTCCTAAAACCCGAAACCCTAAACCCAAAGCCCCAAGCCCTTAACCCTAGACCCTGAAGGTTTCGGGTTTAGGGCCGAGGTTTCCTCATCAAAACAGACCTCCGTGCGCAGGGTTCTGCAATCCCAAAGCTCGACCCAGGTTTCAAGAGTGTCTCGGTGCCCTGGTCGGGTGCATGGTGGCTTTAATACGGAAGCCTCAATAACTACCTATATCATTAGGGCTTACCTGAACCCTAGAAGTCTGCCTTAAGGACTTTTGCACGGAGCTCATAAAGAAGGAACCCAAAAAGGGTAGGTTTTTTTGGTGGGTTCAGGTACGGCTTTACTGAAGCAATCACTTCCTTCACCGTGGCAAGATTGTTATCTGAGTTGAAATGCGCAGGGCATCCAGCCTGCAACTATCCTGTTTTGCCGTCTGACCGCGTTCACATTGCAGGCTATCGTGTGGAAACTCAGTAACAGCCTACCAGCGAAAGTTTGCTACTCATGGGGGGGCCCTCTGGTTCACCCACGCGAACCGCACACAGAACGCCGTTGTCTCATTGTCAAAAGTTCGATCCCTGGCGGGAGGACTTCGTTGGCTGTGAGATGCCTCTTAAGTCTGCACCTTGCACGCACTGAGTGGGCCCCAGAAGTGATCCTTATTTTGGCAACTGCCGCTGGACATGTTCAAACTTAAAGCCTCAGCCTTACAGCGGCCCTGCAGCCTTATATAGTGGCGTTAATAGTTAGAATTGGGTTTTGGGGCCCATTACACTATAACATACTATAACTATAAGAGGGAACCCCCACAAAGTAGTCTAGGTAATTATTTAGACGCCTATATAAAACCATTATAATAAGGAACCTCCCAAAATAGTATAGGTAATTATTTAGACCCCTATATTAAACCATTATAAGAAGGAACCTCCCAAAAAATTGTAGACGTAATTATTTAGACCCCTATATTAAACCATTATAATAAGGAACCTCCCAAAATAGTATAGGTAATTATTTAGACCCCTATATTAAACCATTATAAGAAGGAACCCCCCAAAAAATAGTATAGGTAATTATGTAGACCCCTATTTTAGGGTTTAAGGGTTTAGGGGTTTTGAAGGGTTTAAGGGGCTCAAAAGGTTTTTAAGTAATTCTTTAGACCCCTATGTCAAACCATTATAATAAGGAACCCCCCAAAAAATAGCATAGGTTATTCTTTAGACCCACCATTATAATAAGGAACCTCCCAAAAAATAGCATAGGTACTTAATTAGACCCCTATGTCAAACCATGGCAGGAGAAGGCCTGAGGCCGCTCATGGTTGGAGCTCGCCGCCGCCGGTAGAGGTCGCAGAGTTCTAAAACCTGAAAACTCGAAGTCAGGGTCCCTTTTGGGGGTCCTGTTTATTATTATTATTGTTCTTATTATTATTGTTATCATTATTATTATTATGATTATTATGATTATTATTATTATTATTTTGGGGGTCCTGTTTAGAAGGCTGCCGCAATATTTCGGGGGACCCAAAACGGGCCCCTGGATTCCGAGAACGAGCCATCTGAGGGACTAAGAAGCTTCTTTCTTGCAGCTTAGGGTTCAGGGTTTAAGGGTTTAAGGGTTTAGGGTTTAGGGTTTAGGGTTTAGGGCTTAGGGCTAAGAGGATTCAGGGTTCAGGGTTTCGGCCTACTTTTTTGTTGTACGGTTTAGGGTTTAGGGTTTAGGGTTTAGGGTGGATAGGACGAGGCCCACATAGCAGGCAAAACTACAATTCAAGCCGAACTACTCTCAGGCAGCAAGGACACTTCAAAATGCTAAAGGACATCCCACCTCAATCGTGCTGGGCGTCATAGAGATTGGACGTTTGGGGTGTCGGCTTTGCAGACTTCGGACGCCTGCTAATGAGGGGTGCCGCAAGCCACAGTTCTACCTACCGAAGGATGAGGGAAACCGCATTTCTTCCTCGATGTGCTTGTACATGGCGGACAACACAAATGCATGATCACAAACTCTAAACCCTAAACCCTAAACCCTAAACCTTAAACTCTAAACCCTAAAACCCCCCCAAGCACCTGAAAGCCGAGAAAAACCGCTAGCGAGGGCATCTGCTCGATCGATCGCAGCGGCGTCCTGCGGCGGTGTGAGTGCAGGTCTTGCACATCAGATTGCTGTGGGGCGTCCCAGACCTAGCACTACTGCAGCAGATGCGACTCAGGTTGCAAGGGTTTAGAGAACTTGGAGGTTCATGGGTAGTTATAAGTATGATTATAAGTCCCCTAAGTTGGGTTATAATTATAGTTACCCTACTTATAACTCCATTTATAACTACCCATGAACCTCCCAAGTAGAAAAGGTTTGCTTCAACCCCTTGCAGAGAGCCTTCAAGTCCCTAGTTGCCGGCAGGATCGTACCCTTAGCGGTGGCATCGGGCTTCCGAAAGAAGGGCTGCCAAGGTGTTTTGCGCTGGGGTAGGATTAGGGTTTAGGGTTTAGGGTTTAGGGTTTAGGCTCTCACAACTCGGACAATCCAGGCGAGGTCTCTGAGGTGGATTTAGGGTTTCGACTCACACACTTTCAAAGCAGGCATGGCGATAAGTGTCCGGAGGGTAGCCCTAGTACATGAAAGTGTGCTCCCATTGATCCCCGCGTACCTAAAGAAACAATAGAGCGCCGCTTTCAACTACTAGGGCCCTGGTATTCCGAGCTTTCGGGTTGCGTTCAGCGTAGAGGCGAAGGGAGAGAAGCCCGAACTGCAAGATTTCCGAAGGGCGAGTCGGGAACCCTAAAACCTTTTTTAGCACGGACGGAGGTGCCGGCCAGCGCCTATGCAACCCTCACCCCCTTCTTGAGGCAAGAGCACACAGGAAAAGCTGTGGATGACAACGAACGGTAACTTGACTGGATCCCCAAGCCCTAAACCCCAAACCGCCGATATGTTCGAAAGCCCAATGCACTGGAGCCTTGATAAACCCTCATGCTTGAAGCCCGAAAACCCCAAACCCCTGCAACCTGTGCCCTTGCGGGTTTTAGGTGTTGGGCCTTCAGGGTTAGGGCCTCTTGAGGTTTTCGGGGCGTGCAGGTTCGGACATGGTGTTTAGGTTTAGGGCCGCTGGCAAGTAGTTCTCCAAATTGGGGTCCTTATTTTTTGTCCCGAATATAGTACGGCACCCTTATAAAAAGGACCCCTAAAAGGGACCCTAATTTAGAGAACTACCTCCGAGGTTTATCCTTTTAGACCCAAAACGGTCCAGCTGACTACAGGCACCAGGGTCGCCATAGCCGTCCCCAACGCGTACCTCGAGCACTTGAGGTTTGGATTTGATACTAAGGTTCCGAGCAGTGCGAATTGGAGTTTGAGGTTGGGCTTAATTTAAGACGTTGCTGCAGTACAGCAAAAGATTTTCTACACCTGGACTTGATGGATGCCAGCACCCCACTGAACACGGGACCAGGGACTTCTTGGTCAGGCACCAGCACAGCAAAAGCCTACACACCAGGCCCTAAACTCCAGACCCTAAAGTTGGTTCGTTGCAAACTTTACCCGACTTCCCAAACCCTCGTTCTCTCTCTCTCTCTCTCTCCTTCCCCCTGGCCACTTGGGCCCCCCTATGTTTGTGCGGCGCTTAGGCGGGGTGTGAACTCTTTCTTTCTTTCTGCCGGGCGTAGGGGTCGCGCGGGGAGACGCTCAGGCCATCGGCCCGCCCGACCACTCTTTTGATTCTCTCTCTCTCTCTCTCTCTCTGACTCAGATGCTTTCACCCAGCCAAAGCTGTGAGGCCCAAACCAAAACCAAATCAAGGGGCCACAGCGAGTAGGCGCGGTAGAGGCCGGAGTTGTACTTGCCCAGACCAACTAACACTGCAGCATGGAGTCCGATCAAGTTATTCACCTGGGAAGTGATGTGTTGGGCTGTCGAAGGGATTCCCTAAAGCCCACGTCTCAAATCTCAACCCTAAACCCCAAACACCCTTATAAAACACCGAATACCCTGAATAACCCTGAACTGTTTTCAGGGTTTCAACCCTCGACACTTTGCATTCGGCCGAGCAGCGAAGATGTAGCCGCCCCAAGTCGCCACGGCACTCGCCTCGGTGGCTCTGGGAGCTTCGGTGCGATCTTCAGAAAGCCGCCTGTGCTTGTCATTGGGGGGTTTAGGGTTTAGGGTTTAGGGTTCAGGGTTTAGGGTTTAGGGTTTAGTGTTTAGGGGCTTGCAAGGATCTCAAAGGGTTCTATACGGGAATTAAGGCTTACAGAGGTAAGGGGGTTACAGGTTTACGGTGTAGGGTTTGTGGCTTCGGGGGTTTGGGGCTTGAGGCTTACACGATTTTCTCTTGGTCTGCAAGGAAACACCTCCTGCACTCTGTGCACGGGAATGCGGTGATTCATCGTCCAGAACAATCTCCGCAGGTTTACCCTGAACTTTCAAAGCCACGTCAACCTGTTTACGGAGGTTCGCCCTGATGTGCCGGCATTACTGCCACCTCTTCGCTCAAAAGCCCTGCCAAGCTTTCCTAGAACTCCCTAAGCTCTAGAACCTCAACGCTAGACTTAGACGCAGACCCTGAACCTTCGACCAAAAAACTCCTTGTTCCAATCCGTGCTGTGCAACTGCCACCTAAACCCAGCCTGGATCACACCCAAACAAGATCTCTACGAAACCCCAAAAACCTTTGCTAAAAAACAAGCCCAACTCTCCAAAATCCTTTGCAAAACCTTTCTGAAGCGCTACCTCACCTTCCGAACCCCCTGACAAAACCCTATGAAACCCTCCTTCTAAGAAACCCTCAACCCTCAACCCCAAACCTGAAGCAAGAAGCTCTAAATCGCAAGCCTTACGCCCCAAACATCCCCAGACCCTGGGCCCCAAAGCCTAAACCCTAAACCCTAAACCCTAAACCCTAAACCCCTAAACCCAAAACCCCCCTTTTTGGGGGCCCCGGGCGTAGGCCAAGGCCGCCTGGAGGGCCCAGGGCCAGGACGCGGGAGTGCGCAGCGAGCGGCACCAGAGCCTTTCGACTTCCGAGAGCTCTGACAAACAGGGATTGGAGGTTCGTTATAGGGTTTAGGGTTTAGGGTTTAGGGGTTTCGAGAGCTCTGACAAAGGGATGCTTACTTGGAGGTTCATGGGTAGTTGTAGGGTTTTTTCCCTCTCGCATTGATGAGATCTATGCCCACGGCGAGGTCTGCATAGTACAACAAAAGGCACTGTAATTCAGTCTGCAACTCAACTAAGTTGTAGGGTTTAGGGTTTAGGGCTTAGGGTTTATGGTTTAGGGGTTTGGAGAGCTCTGACAAAGGGGTGCTTAGGGCGACTTAGAGGCTCGTGGGTAGTTAACGGTTAAAAGTATGGTTATAAGTTATAGGGTTTAGGGTTTAGGGTTTTTTGTTTGGTGATAAGTCCCCTAATATGGGTTATAACTATAGTTACCCTACTTATAACCCCGTTTACAACTAGCTCCAAGTAGGGCTGGGGGTTCAGGGCTTCGCTTAGGTTAGGGCTTCGGGCTTAGGGTTTGGCCTGCATACTGGGTACTCGTGGGGAATTTAACCCTATGTCATCAGAACAAGGAAACCATGCATAAACCCTAAACCCTTTTACACAGGCNNCCGCAGCACATCGCACTCATGGCGAGATGCCCATAAACCCTTTTTCAGCACGGACTGAGGTGCCGGCCAGCTTATGGGCACCCTAAACCCTAAACCCTGAACCCTAAACCCCTAAATTCTAAACCCGTTCAGGCCGTGGCTCGGGCTAAATGAAGGTTCAGCTTTTGGGTTGAGAGTTCAGGGTTTAGGGTTTAGGGTTTAGGTTCAGCTTTTGGGTTGAGGGGTTCAGCTTTAGGGGTTGAAGTTGAAGAGCTTCGAAAGCATTTTGGAGAGGTAAGGCTACTTAAACCCAAAAGGGTCGTGGGAAATCCACGAGCTACATGGGAGGATCGTGGCTCAAACTTCCTATGAACAAGGCTTACAGGGTTTAGGGTTAGCCTTCTGGCAAGGTGCCAGAAGGCTGTACAGAATGCGGCCATTGCCACGCACTCGTTGTCGAACTCTCCTGGCATCCATCGCATCTTCTACCGTTTAAATGCCTGTTGGGGGGAGGGCTGGTTTTATAGGGGTTTACTGAGGGTCAAGAAGGCCCAAAACAGGGTCTTATCGGATTGTTACTTCGCCAGGGTTTTTAGGGCTCAGTGTTGAGGTACAGGGATCTGGGGAGGTGAAGTTTTCAAGCTGTGGGGTCGGAGGGTGTTAGGGTGGTATTGAGCCGAGGGTGCGAATCTTGCAAGTTTAGGGCTTGAGGGTTTCAGCTTTGGTGCTTTGGGGTTTATAGTTGTAGCCAGGATCCATGCCTCAAAGGGCTCTCGTCACAAGAAACCAAAGCCGCCTACTTCGTATACCCTAAAGAAACCGTGGGGACTATTTCCATTTCGGACATTGGGTTTGTCTTTGGGGGCGGACTCATTCCAACGGCTGTAACGCAAGCCATGATTTAATATGATCCGCCTGTCTAACCTTTTGTCCGTCCTTGCTATCAAATTCAAAAGGCCTTTGTATTGACTGTACCTCACGGAACGGTTTCACGTATGGGGCTGGGCCGAGAATAGGGTTTTAGGGTGGCCCTAAACCCGTAACATAGACCCCTGAATTGTTGCCAAAAGTAATCCTTCGGGCCCTTATGAAAACTGTACCAGAATACACCGACTAGACCCTGTTCTAATTGTCAAAGGCGCCCCTGTTTCAACTCCCCAAAGCACCCCACTCCCCAATAACGGTTTAGGGTTTAGGGTTTAGGGTTTTGGGTTTAGGGAAAGAAGACCGTAGCCCCCAGAAGCCCGAACTCAAGCCCGAACTCCGAAGCCCTGTAATACAGAACGGGAGGGATGTGCTCCTACTACCCCCCTGTAGTACCGACAATGCCAATAGCATAATCTAACTCGAAACCCGTTTTTCACTACAAGGCCGCAATAGAGTCTTCGGCCAGCATCAGAGTGCCGCTGGCCGGGTTTAGCTTTTACTTGGAGGATCATGGGACTTAGTAAGTAAGGTTATAAGTCCCTCAATTGGGGTTATAAGTATAGTTACCCTAATTATAACCCTACTTACTAAGTCCCATGATCCTTTAAGTAGGGGGCTCTTCGGACTGCAGGCTTCGCGATTTCCTGCTGGCTCCGGCTCGAACCTCCAACTCAGGGTGACACCATCACCTCTTCCCCTTGCTGCTCGAAAACAAGCTACTACAGGGGCCTTAAATGATTAGAATAACGTCTTGGCATCGTGTACAAGAAGTGTATAGACGTAGAAGAAGGAATCTTTAGAAACAGTTTTTCATCGATGAAATCACTGCGACCTCTCAAGAGCAACGGTACCCCTTTCCTGTTGTACTTGGGAACCAAGAAGCTGTAGCCAACACAAGTCTGAAACAGACCTGAGCCATCCCCCATAAATCCCAAATCCGAAACCTTCACCATCCGTAACCTGCAGCCGGGAAGGCGAAGAAATCAAAACTCATCTGTACAGGCAGCAAGGGTTTCTGCACCCCCTCAATAATACACGATAGCGCCACAAGACTCTGGCCATGCACGTGCTCGTCTACGCCGGGATCAGTGGCTCATTTGGGTCACTGGCTCGTTGGCAGCGCCTCACTTCCCTGGCAATGGACCCAAAAACTCTCCGTTTGTGGTGCCGATGGCCTGTATCCGATTTTGGTCCTGCTTGGTGGCGACGAGCTTCACACGCACGGCGACATCGCGGCGGATCCAGGAGGTGCCGTCGCCGGACACGAAGGAGGCGCCGCCGGCGGTTTCGGCCTCGGAGTAGTTCCAGCCCTCGGGGAGGAGGGACTTCGAGACGAAAACCCTGGCAGGGCCCACCTGGGAGTTTCCGAAAATTAGGGTACCTTCTTTTGGGGTCCTTATAATAAGGGTCCTACTATTTAGGGTGCTATATTAGGGTCCCCTATTTTCGGAAACTCCCACCTCACAGAAGAAACCCAACTTGTTGAGCTCCGTGACTACGGCGTCGACGACCTCGTTCTTGAAAAGCTGCAGCACTAGGGCGTTGTACTTCATGGGCACCATGATCAGACCAGTCCCCTCATGCAGCTTGCCTTTGTCTGTGGGTTCGATCTCCTTGACACTGATGATGAGCCCGGCTTTGTCTTGCACGGTGCCTTCTATCTTCTGACGCAGCTGGTCCAGGAGATACTCGTGATACCCGGGGCCACAATGCTCCGGTTTCACCAGGAGGTACGTCTCGAGCTCCATCAGAAAGAACCTAACTTTTCCAACTTCCAAGGGCGAGTAGAAAGAGCTCTGTCGGGACTCTCGTCTCCATTTCGCTCCGTTATAGCAACCCTTAAAGCAACTCGAACACGAATCCTTCCAGAAAAGTGAAAGTTTACATGCTGATCGAGCTAAGGCACATGATCCGCCCACCGTCGACGAAGCTCCAGCGTTCGCTCCACGAGAACTCAAAGAGGTGGACGTCCACTACCGGGCACCAAGCACTATAGTAACCGTACAGTGCTCTTACAGTATCCGTAGACTAAGTATAGTACCCCTATGCTAAGCCCCGAACCCCCAAATCTAAGGTTCAGTCAGGTCTATGGCTCTCAAAGAAGTTGAAGGGAGGGGCCAGGTCAGGTGGGGTGTCGAGGTGCAAGTTTAGAGCGCAGCTCGAGGTCTCCCGTGGCCTTTGCTGACTTGAGGTCAAGAGTTGTTTAAGCTTTGCTGCTGAAGGCTCAAGGATAGCAGATGAAATCTTGACGCACAAGACTTTTGAATTTTGCGGCTGGGTGTTGGCTACAAAGTGTTTGGCTGCGTCTCTTCATCCTGGCTTATGCGCCCGACGGCTTGAGCCCGACCATTGATTTCGGCACTCGCACTCGGCCATTGCCTCGGAGCACGGGCCCCGACAGATAGCCCAACACCATATGTTCAACTACCTATCTGATATGGAGAGACAGAAGAAGCAAGTTCTGAAACCTGAGCCTGGTGCCCACGTACACACACACAAAATCTAGGGACCAAGCAGCGCCTGGACGTACCGAACCACTTCTGATGCAGTGGAGGAGGGATGGAGCACCAATCCACCGCACCAACAGGACAAAAGCCTTCTTGCCGGTATACACATGGGTGGAAAAGAATACTGTTGCCAGCTTTGAAGCACTGGATTTGTTCAACCGGAATTTAATTTCTTCCGACAGGCACTCCTCAAGGCCTCAACGAAGTCTACACACATTCAACGCCTGCACTTGCGCGCGAAGACGACTACCATTGACCAACTGCTTACATCCGAAACCGTAATTTTGGTCCTGTCATCGAGCGCAACAAGTGCGCCGGAATGATGGCCATCACCACCGCAGCCGCTACACCCGCGCCAGAGCTTTCCGACACCTCCGGCTAGCTGAGAGACCCTGTAGAACCTCAACGTCAATACCCAAATCAGAACCCCAGACCCTGGACCCTAAATCCCAAGCCCCCAGTGCACACTAGACCTCGAACCTTAAAATCCCAAAGTCCCTCCACGATGCTGCTCGGACGCCGTGGTTTGGCGCTCAACGAGGCTATGATGTTGCCCAGCTCCGCTCCAAAGGCTCTAGGTGGTTGGCTACTTTTCGTGATTTGAAGGTACCGTCTTGTTGTCGATGGTGATTACGCCTCTTATGAGTGTCGATCGTTATCGAGGTTATGTTGTGGTTTTGAATGTATAAGAATGTTCATAATCAACTTCAGTCACAACAAATCAAATTCTAAATCACCACGCTCACCATCACCATCGTCGTCACAGTGTGGTTTCTTTGGGGCGCCGGGACCTTAGTTGGGGGGGATAAAACGTTCGTCTAGGTATCCCGTGGAGCTTATGGTATGTTCCATCACGAAAAGTAGATCCCTACAATAATGCCCGTAAACCAAAACACCCTGCCGTAAACTATAAACACCATACAATGTAGGAAAGCCCTCCAGAAACAGCTAGAAAAACAATCATCATAATAACGCGACCAGAAACGGAGGAGGACCACGAAGCAGAAGAAGAATAAGCAAAGTAATAGTAGAAATAATGACAACAGGAAGATGCACAAAAACAATGACAATAATAGGTATAATCTAAAGGAAATATGAAAACAAGAGGAAGAACAGGCATGAAAGATACACATATACCACCAAAACAGTAGTGATAATGAAGTATGCAACTAACAATTAACGGACTTAATGCATTAATGTCCGCTCAAGGCCTCCCAAGTCAGCAGGAAGATGGACAAGGTGGCGACGGCTGCGAGCCTCAGGCTTTGCGGCTCTGGGGCTTAGGGGTTAAGGGTTAGGTTAACTTAGAGTTTCCAGTTTAGGGTTTAGGGGTTTAGGGTTTAAGGTGTAGGGTTTAGGGCTCAGGGTTTTTTGGCCCTCACACTCGGACAACACCAGGCAAGGTTTGAATGGAGCTAGGACACGAACAACCACCAGTAATACCCGATAAGACAGCCCCATTGACGGAAGTGTCCTGAGCAAGGCAGACGGTGCTACAGAACCACCCCCCCAGTTCCGCGTGGCAATGCGGACATCTTCCATTGCAAAAATCATCCATGCAGTAGTGTGACCAAGATGTGGCTGAGCCACGTACGTCTAGGAAGTAACAAAAATATCAAGCAGCAGGGAATATGCATCCAAGTCGGACAGACGAACTGGTCGAGTGCACTACCGCAGAGATATTTGTTGTACATTCATCCCAAAAAACCAGGTTCGGCGCCGAATCCGCCGATAAATGATGACGAGGAAGATGTATGTGTCATCCATACCCCAGGCTGCTTAGGCGAACATGGCCAACAAGGACTGGCCAGCGCGGCGCCCTCCTTCCGGGCCTAGGGTAACCAGGTGGGTGGACTAGACCCGTGCCACACAACCCAGGGCGTACTTGGAGGTTCATGGGCAGTTATAAATAGGATTATAAGTAGGGTAACTATAGTTATTATCCATATTAGGGGACTTATAACCACACTTATTGCTACCCATGAACCTCCAAGTACTGTGTCCTCCAAGGCACTGCCACAGCACGGCTGACCAGTGATGACAGCAGTGAACATGATGGGCTACCAGGTCCCCTGACTTTTTGTGGGTTGCTTGAATCCTGCTTGGATAAAGGTGCATCTGTTTGTCACCTCCTTGGTCACTCCTTCGCGATTGATGTCTTGAAACCTGAGTACAATTGTTTTCGCTCAGTCGGGCTTTTTTGGCGTCACCGGCGCTTCTGCCAAACAGGAGCTAGTCCTGACTGTGGAACGAGGGGCGCAAAATCCACCCACCCCCGCCCCCCAAGCAGCCTCCATGGCTGGCTTAGGGTTAGGGTTTAGGGCTGAAGGTCTGCTTACGGTTTGGAGGTTCAGGGGCCCTAAACCCTAATTTCTAAACCCTAATTGGAAATTTTCTCAACCCACCCTAATTTCTAAACCTAATTCCTGATTTCTCAACCCTAAACCAAAAATCTCTAAACCCAATTCCAGGTCCCAAACCCTAAACCCTACTTCCTAAACCCCAAACCCTTTCTTCTCTAATTCCTAAACCCTAAACCCAAATTTTTTAACCCTATACCCTACTCTTAAAGCAAGCTCAGCTCTGCACCAGGCTGGCACCATCACGCAGACCTCGGCTCTTTCAAAAGATCCGGTTTCAGAGGCTCCTCCAAAACCATAAAGGGCCATTTTGAGGGTTACGGTTTAGGGTTTCGACTCACACACTCGCAAATGCAGGCACGAGGGTTTCATCGACAGTTTCGAAGGGCCATTGTGAGGACGATTATGACGAAGGGGCCTTGATGACTTGAATAGGCTTTGGGGTGAAATTATGGCATACTTCGAATCAGAAAGTTAAGGGCGAGTTGGGGTCACAGCGTTTCCGCTCTCTTCCTAGAACCCCACAGCCAACAACCATAAACCGTAAGACTCTAGAGCGCTTACACCCCAGGCACTGTAAGAAACCAGGGACCCCCAAAAAAAAACGGAAGACCTCACCCTAAACCCTAAACTCTAAACCCTAAACCCTAAACCCTAAACCCTAAACCCTAAACCCCAGGAACCCTAGGACCCCAGACCCTGAGAAGAGCGCTTTGGACAGACCTGGGCCCTCCTGCATCGTTGACGTTCATCGACGAAAACTCTGCCTTCCCGTGACCTGCAACGAGGGGTCTTGCGTTGTGTGCTAAATGGGCCTTGATTACAATGAGGTTTTGGGCTTGTAGATAGTATTAGCATCTTGAGCAACCCTACGTAGTATTGGCAGGAACAGTATTGGTAATGATTCCAGCCCCTTTCGTACACGGCCTTGCGCAGGGTTCGGCACTGGATCACCTGAGGATTAGGAACGCGTTTTTTCGGATTCAAAGATCCTGAAATCAGGGTTGCCAGGGATACCCTTTTGCATCCAGGCCTATTGCAACTACCAGGGTTCCCCGGAACCCCTAAACCCATAACCCTCCTTTTGCAACTGGCTTTCAATGTCACCCCTAACCCTCCCGAACCCTTTTGCTGCAGGCTTGCAAGACCCTTTTTGCTCAACCCTAAACCCTAATCATCCCTCCATCCCTGAAGCCTACACCGTAACATACCGTAACCGTAATCTGGGTTTGGGGTGCCATGCTTGTACCAACTCGCACTCTGCCAGATGCAGCTCGAGGGCAGCAAAAACCTATAGGACCTTGGTATAGTAAGTAGACCAGAGTTCCTTTAAGGGTGACAACGATGGTGGTAGTAGTGGTGGTGGTAGTAGCAGTAGCAGTAGCAATAGTAGTGGTAGTAGCAGAAGAACTCACGATTTTAGTATCCCCGCGAGCTCCGATTGTCACGAATATGACGCAGGATGCCTAAGGAACACCCCTATACTCCCTAAACCCTAAACCCTAAACCCTAAACCCTTAACCCTAAACTCCGAACCCTAAACCGCCTGGGAGGTAGGAGATCCATCCCGCAGGCAGCGACTCCACCAGGGAGCTCGGAATCTCCCACTTCAAAGGCGACCTCCTGGGCTCTGCTTGGAGGTTCATGGGTAGTTATAAGTGGGGTTATAAGAGGTTCCTTTAAGGGTTCCTTTACGCGGTTCTATGGGGTTTAGGGTTTAGGGTTTGGAGGTTCATGGGTAGTTATACGTAGGCTTATAAGTAGGGTAAGTATAATTATAACCCAGGTTAGGGGACTTATAACTCCAATTATAACTACCCATGAACCTCCAAGTAGGCAGAACCAGAACTACGACGATGAGGAGGATGCTGCGCAGAAGGATGATGATAGCGATGGTGATGAAGGTGATGCTGACAGTTTTGTTGTTGCTACTGTCGGTGCTGACGCTTGCTACTGTTGAGGTTGATGTAGGTGTTGGTGAAGCTGAACCCATATAGCCGGAGAGGTTATAGGCTAACTTACCCTAGGCTTATCCACCACTCTTCCGGAATCTTCAGCCAGGACTCCGCCCCAGCCTTTCAGAACTTAGCTTGAAGTGACAAAACAACTGAACACTGGGAAGCGCTAACTCCTGGTTGCGTAAGCCCCAAGCAAGATAATGGGCATCCTCAAGCTCACGCCCTTTAACAAAATGGATCTATTCATCAGGGCTCTACAGAACCCTATAATCGACACCATAACCCCCAGAAGCAAAAACACTAAAACTGTTTACCCAAGCCGTGCAGAAACCGTGCGCCCTCCGATCGTCTCAGCTCTGCGACACCATGGACACCAGAAGCAGTAGCACTAGTATAGGGGCCTTAATGATTAGAATAGGGTTTTGGGTCCCATTATACTATATCTATAATAAGGAAACCCTAAACCCTAAACCCTAAACCCTAAACCCTAAACCCTAAACCTCCCAAAATTAGTATTGGTAATTGTTCGGCCCCTACCTTAGACGTGTCCACAGCCTCAGCTCTGCCGCCGGCCAGGCGCCGGCGCGCAAGACGCAGCCACTCGCCGGCCCACTCGGGTTCAAAAGGCGGCTGGGCAGGGTCCACCTCTCTTGTGGCTGGTGCGTTCTTCTCTTTGCTTGGTTGTTGAAGTTCAGCGGTTTTTGGGGGGGGTCCAGGGAGCTTTATACTTGGAGGCCTTGTCTCTTTAGGGGTGTTTAGCCTGTTCAGCGCAGGGCTCACTCTCGGAAGCCAGCGCGAGGTTCGGCCGTCTGTCTCTCTGGGGTCTGATGACTTGAAATGGTGCGGTGGTTGGAGGCCTTGGACGACATTTGCTTTGATCCACCCCTGTCTGAACGTTTCATGCACAAGCAAAGTGCAATCGTCCCCTAACCAGTCGCAGCCGGACAGTGAGAGGCTTCCCCTGTTTTTGTGGATGCACCTGTCACTCTGTTTCAGACTTTCAGTCCACGCCCCCTCATCTGGCTAGTCAGGTCCGGTCCCTGTGTGCAGCTTCAGGGCTGTATTTCCATAACGTGACTACTACAAGTATGCCTCCACCTTTGGTCGACCCCGAACAATAAACCCGAGCCCACGCAGAGCATAGATTCAAGCCCATGCATTGCGTAGCAGACAACCATCCTATAGAGGGTGGATCCCAATACGATCTTGTGTCGAGTCTTCACGAGTCCACAACTTTAGGCCCTTGTTCAACCCGATGAGGCCATTGTCATCATGACCCTCGTCGCCGCGATCATCATCATCATCATCATCATCACCATCGTCATGAACCGGATTCATCATCACCGTCGTCACTATCACCATCACAATCAACACCAACACCATCAACATCATCACCATCGCGATCACCACAACCATCACCATCAATATCGTCGTCATGAACCCTACAAGAACCCCTGAATCGGATTCTGAATTTGGACCCTGCCTGGACAACTCCAGTCTCCATTGCGCGAGAATTGGAGCGTGCTCGAAACTTCACAGCTTGCTGGAAGCACTGACAATGTGGCTTTTTATGGAAGCAATGCAGACATACGACCAACCGCCACCACCACAACTACGATTATGACCACGACGACGACAACTGCTGCTACCGTTACTGCGACCGCTCCCGCTACCACTGCTGCTGCTCCTAGCACTGCGGCTACCGCAACTGCTCCTGTTACCGCTGCTGCGACGGCTGCTGCCATGGCTACCGTTACTGCTGCTGCTTGCAACCTACAGCCCAACGAAAGCTCTGAGCCCAAAGCCTCCATCTCTTCACCCGAAGCCCCGCTTTCAAACCCCCACCTCAAACGGTTTAGTGTTTAGGGTTTAGGGTTTAGGATTTAGGGTTTAGGATTTAGGGTTTAGGATTTAGGGTTTAGGGTAATCTCCACACCATGGCCTCTAAGAGGAGCCGGGAGAGTCGCTGGGGAGGGGCAGGAAGAGTCTTGTGAGACAGCACGGCTCGCCGCCCTCGTCCCTTTCCCTTCTTGTTGAGGGTCTAGAACCCAGAGCGTAGGCCGCTTAGACAAGACCCTAATTCTAAACCCTAAACCCTTTTTCAGCATGGGTTTAGGGTTTGGGGTTTAGGGTTTAGGGTTAACCCTAAACCCTAAACCCTAAAACCCCAAACCCTAAACCCTAAGACGTCATTTCTTCGGAAATTATACGGTCTTCGCCTCTAAAAAGGCCAAGGCGAAGGCGACCGCAGGGCTGAGGATGTCAGGTTAAAAAGGGTCTGAGATGATGGATTAGGGTTTCGGGTTTAGGGTTTAGGGTTTAGGGTTTAGGGTTTAGGGTCTAGGGTTTAGGGTTTAGGGTTTAGGGTTTAGGGTTTAGGGTGTAGGGTTTAGGGTTTAGGGGATGGAGCCTCAGTTATGGAATCCTCAAGGGAGGGGGTTCTAAGGGGCGTATATATAACCCAGCAATCCCCAAATTTCCCTAGTACTCCCTTAAATTCCCTTGAGCTTCCCTCCCTTAAGGATCCTATAACTCAGGGTCTGTAGTCTGGGGAGGAAGGCCAGGTTACCCCTGAACCTCGAACCGGCTGTGTGCTTGGTGTGTTTATGGGTAGTTGTAGAAATTAGGGTCCCTTTTGGGGTCCTTTTTATAAGGGTGCCGTTCTATACTGGGGACCTAAAAAGGGACCCTAATTTAGAGAACTACCCTTATGGCATTCCTGTCGGCCAGTTTCCCCGAGGGCTGGATCATATAAGCCTAGCAAAGCTGGAAGTTCTCTATCCAACTTTTCTTTGAAGCAGGGCTCTACCGCTATGCCTGCCCCTCCAACCCAACTGAGACCCCAAACCAACCCGAGCCTAAGCCCTCAAACCCTGAACCAGCTAAACAAGCCCTGAACCTTGAAGCCTAGGTCCCTCACATGAGGGGTTCGTGGGTTTATAGGTTAAGAGTGTTTCATACGGGTTCTATGGGGTTGTATCGAGGCCCTATAGGGTTTCATGCGGGTTTTCGCAAGGCTTTAACGAAGGCTCCTTAAAAAATGTCGGTGTCACTTAATAAAAAGGACCTTATCATAAGTCCTGTTTTAGGGTTATGGGTCTAGGGTTTAGGGATAAGTCCTTTTTGGGGGGCTATGGGTTTTTCCATGTTCAGAGGAGCTTGGGCTTCGCAGCTCCACATTGCGCACGCTACTCCTCGCCCGGGCCTTGTAACACGGAATTTGGTGCTTCTAGGAATCTAGGTCGGTTCTGAAGCGGAAACTTCTGATACAGATTCTACCACTGGAGTTCGACATTTTGGCACGGGACCTTGCCAACTAGCATCCTCATCACAACGCCTACAGCACATAGTCACCAACACCCTCTAGCCAGTCTAGCCAGTCACCAAATCCCTGATTTAAGCCCCCTAAACCCTAAACCCCAAACCGTTTAGGGTTTAGGGTTTAAGGGTTCAGGTTTTGGGGTTTCAGCTTCCTTCTTCAGATCACCTCACTTCGACGTCGGTCAGATGAAAGAGCTCCGAAACGCCCGATGCAGCCGAGAAGCCAAAAACGTTGAGATGGAGGTTCTGCGATTTCAGTCCTCTGACAGGGCCGGGGCTTCAGGGCTTCATGTAGACTTAGAGGCCTTAAATGATTAGAATAGGGCTTTGGGGTATATTATAGTGTAATTAGCATGAGGAACCCCCCGAAATAGTATCGGTAATGATTAAGGCCCCTTTTCTTAGGGTTTTACGGTTGGGGCTTGCTTATGGTTGAAGATCGAGGCTTTTGAGGTTGGGTCTAAGTCCAGCTATGCCTTTGCCTTCTTTCTGCACCTGCGCTGTAATGTAGGGGCCTTAATAATTAGAACGAGGTTTTGGGGTATATTATATTATAGTTATAATAAGGACGTATAAGTAAGTATTTACGCCCCTGTATACAGGGAACCACAGGGGACCCTGATTGGCTATGGTCCTGGTGTCTGCTCGTCCTCAATGCAAGAACCCTCGCGGTGCCTGCATCGTCAGGGCTCTGGGGTTAAGGTCACGCTGATAGGGTCTACCCGAAGGCTGGGCTACAGCATGGCAATCGGCTCCGAAAATAGGGGACCCTAATATAGTACCCTAAGTGGTAGGATCCTTGTTATAAGGACCCCAAAATAAGGTACCCTAGTTTTCGGAAACTCCCAAATTTGTACTAGGATCCTTCATAGACCCCAGCAGGCCTCATCCAGTCGTCTGGTGGCCAGCGCGGGCAGCTCGGGCAAAGGATCGGCCGCCGGGCTGGTGGTAATGGTGGTTTTCTCTGAGGTAGTGGTTGTCTGCGTGGTGACCGCAGTGGTCTCCGAGACTGTCGCCGGCTTGGGGCTGGTGCTTGGCTTCGAGTGGTTGGCGAGGGCAGTGGTGACGGTCGCTGCCAGAGTGGCTCTTCTTGTGTGTTCTGTGGTGTTCAGAGCTTTGGCCGGCTTGACTGGGCTTGTTGACACAGTGGTAGTTGCTTCTGTGTGGTTCAGAGTCGCGTTTCCGGTCTTTTGGCCAATGGCCGGCTGCCCATTGCTTTTTGCCCGCGTGGCGTTTGGCTCTGTGCTGTTCACAGTGGCATTTCTGGCCTCCGGGCCTTTCGCTGGCTTCCTGATACTTCTTGCTGGTGTGGCACTTGGGGTCGTGCGGTTCATGGTGGTGTTT